TTGAGAATCTAACATCGACTCCTGGGCCGGAGATGAGTGAGCAGGATTTGCTCATTCATTTCCTTAGGGCAGCGCCTGAGCAATTCCAGCTTGCCTTATTCTCTCAGGGCCACAAGGACTGGCAGTCCTTTAGCAGAGCAGCCCTGGACTTGGAGTCGAAACTCCATGTCCAGGAAACACCTTCTGAAGGAATGAAGGGACCCTCCTCAAAGGGGCGAAGGAGGAGGAAGGGTGCCCTGTTTGCTGCTGCAGCTTCTAGTTCATATAGGGATGCAGCATCCCAGGGTGGGACACCTCCATCTGGGACTGCTTCCTCATCTGCTGCAGATCCTACTGTTCTTGCCCCAGCTGATGCTTTGATGGGCATGGCAAAGGGTAAAGCCCCGACCCAGAAAGCACCAACCAGCAACAAGGGGAAAGGTAAGGGACGTGCCTCGTCCCCTGGAGGCCAGAGAGTACCACTACCACGAGACGTCCAGCTGACCCCCTTGATCCTTCCACCTTCCCCTGGCATGAACTCAGGATCCAGGAGGGAGTATGGAGGAAGAGGAAGGACGGAGGAAGAGGAAGAACAAGAGTGTCTGCCTAAGATGCGAGGGGGACCATTATTTGAAGGATTGTCCCCATATGCCTCACAGTCCTTCAGGCTCGAACTAGAGAGGAGAGAGGTGGAGTCTGCAACTCCCTCCACCTGTGATGATTCAACGTCTGATGAAGATGAATCTTCACCGTCTCTAGCTGATTCATTTAGGAGTTGCAGCATCAGGGTCCTTCACGTATGAGGACACTGATTTGTAACAGATCTAGGGATGGCACAAGTAAGGGTCACAGCCCCTTTTACTTGTGACTGGACTTCTCTGAGGAGATGTTTCCTACTTCCCTGGACAAGCGTATTTGTGCCGCGTTGTCAAACTTATTGATGCAAATTCTGGCCATACTCAACGTCCTGACTAGTGTTAGGAGCCCATAGCTCTCAACTACAATTATCATTCTAGACTGAAGGACTGCAATAAGAGATTTCGGGCAAGACAAGCAACCTCAATACGGTGGAGCATGAAGACATAAACACCCAGATTGTCAGTGACAGTCATGCTAGGACTCAACTTGTCTAACAGACAAGGAGTCCGGGGCAGGATGTTGAAAGCCTGAAGCAATGGTTCACACCACTCAGCGTCAAGACGAGGGAAACTTGCCAAATCTATGGGCTCCACTATATCACTCTACTGACCGATTGCACTTTGTTCCATGTCTACTAGGGGTGAATACCCGGATCGACGACTATAGCTCAACGTCTAGGTAGCTCAGCTTTTCAGCATGGTCGATTGCGCTATAGTTGGGTGCCAAGTCTTACTTTGGTCATTCAACGCAATCGAGACCGGCCGACACTCTAGAGTTCTCCTTCTCCTGACATCACTGTTCACAGTGCTGGTCATGACGTCGCCTACGGAACCTCAACTTTTCAGAAGTGGTCGATTGCGAGACAGTCAAGGACCAGGTCCTACCGTGGTTTCTTCCTGCAGTCGAGACCAGCTGACACTTTGAGGTTGCCTCCTCCTGACCTTGCTGTTTGCAGCAGTGACCAGGGGCATAGGTTACCCCGCGAGTCTCTCGGGTTCTCCTCTTTAGGCAAGAGCTCTATCCCTACACCCACTTCGTCTACTGGTTCATTACCAATAAATGAAGGATGGGCGCGGAGGTCCGCTCTCCTCGGGGGGGTATGTAATGAAGCCTGCAAATTCTCAGTGGACTGTACATTGGGCCGAGGGCGAAGCTTGGGGCTTGCCTCGTTCTGGTCGCCTCTTAGGTTAGATTCCTACTTTTGTTTGGCTGAGGGCTAACCGAGAGACCTGCCTGTAAGGAAATTCGTGACGGACATATTTGTAAATTCGAGAAAATATAGGCCCGTACTAACATAATTCCCTACAACTATCCTAACTGCGAATACCAGGCCCGGGCTACCTCTACCCGTCGGTCAGTCAGTCCAGTCTAGGTCGAGTCTAGGCTAGAGTAGACTATAGACAGGATGGGCACATAGGTTCAGGGCTTTTTGCAGTTGGTACCAAGTACATCGCGGCTGCGTTACGCGTGAACCGGAAGTGGTGACGGCTCAGCGTGGAAGGAGACAGGCATAGCCAGACCTTCGGAGCGCCGACCATAGCTGGGACCTCCGTTGTCCTCTGTCAGCACGAGGGGCTGTCAGAGGTCTGGGTTATCGAGGTCTGCTGGAGGCGAGTGAAGTTGGTGCCCTGCTGGACCCTCCTCCGGAGTGGGGTTCCAGGGTTGTGGTGCCGCAGCCATAGCTACAGCTTCTTCCTCAGAGGTCATCTGGCCAGGATTGGGTGGCGCTGCTGCAGACTTCCATCGGGGAAGTCTTCCGACACTTCGTCATCATCAGATATTGTGGCGCTGGTCTTCTTCTACATCCTCTGAGTGGCGCTTGGCCTCAAAGGCCTGTTTCATGGCGGCGCTTCCCTTTGGAGGCTGTATCTAGGTGGCGCTTGATGTTTCAACTCAGGGGTAGTGCTAGCGGTTCATCAGGGTTGGGGAGTGAAGCGCTGCTCATCGCTGAGCAGCGCACCATAGTTCTGAAGTTATCCTTTTTTTTTTCTTTTTTTTTTTCAGTTCTGAAGTTATCCTGACAAGTTGAGACTCTGAGTTTAATAAACAGTGTAATAATGGGTTTGGACTATCATTGTTTCATTGTTGCCTGGATGCGATCTACTCGACTTTTCTTTATGACTGGTTGTGAGGATTGAGTGGAGTGAATTGCACTTTCAGTGTACCCTGTCATATCGCATGGTCAAGTCTTCCGCTGTGTTTCTCTCTCCCTGTGCGGTGTGATACTCCTATCCTCTCCCCTTCCTTCTGTGTATGTGTGGGCATACCTGGAAGTCTATGTGTGCGAGTGTTGGTCTCAGACAACAAACAACCGGAATCATAACATATATACCTCAATGAGTTTTATTTCTCTTTCAGCCTAGTCCACTTAGCCTATTGGTCAAGTGTACACTTTTTCAACGTAATGAGCTTGAATACTTTGGGTTTGACCTCCATGTGAGTTCTTGTTCACGTGACTTGCGCAGCAACCAGCAGCCCCAGAGGTTGACAATGGGTGGCCGTGACCAGACCCAACCGTACCCAGCCATACCCAGCAGTTATGGGCGGGTGTACATATAGCAAGGTTCCTATGCAGCGTGGCTGGGTGTGAAAATCCAAGTGATCAATATGGCCAAGCCAGGTAACTATGGGGTGGGTGGGGCTGGGAGTTGAAACAGTGCGTGGGTGGTTGCGGTCAGGTAGAGATCAAATAGCAGTGCCGCAATTCTTTTTTCTAAAACAGTGCAACTGCCTTGAGATAGAACAAGTCATGAGTGCTAATAAAAAATAAAAAATAAAAGATTAGAGGTTTTGAAAGGAAGTGGGTGGGGGCCAATCCTACTTTTGGGGGAAGAAATCAATGCCTACCTCCTGGGATAATGTGTTTCTGTAGGATCTGTCGGGAAGCAATGGCTATAGCTCTCTCTGCCATGGGGAGAGGTGTGAGTTTCACAGTTTACCGTGCTTTCGAATATTCTAATGCCAACCTTGCGCACTGGGCCTTTCGAGGGAAAAGAAGGGTCTGCTGACCCACCTTTGCACATAGAATGCTTGATATGCTTATTATTTTCCAAAATTGACTGGAAGCCTTTGCATTAACCGAAATTTTGTTCAGTGCGATAATCTGTGGATGGAATAAAAATTGATCCTGGGTATGGGCAGATGTGGGTGGTTGAAATTTTAGCCTGGGAGTGGCTGAGGAGGAGTACAATTTTGTTGCGAATGCTGGGTGGGCAGGGTACAGGTAGCAAACTTTAAAATGTGTTTGGCTGGGCTGGGTCTGGGTGAAAATTTTGGTGTTTACGTTTGTCCAGCTGCATGTGATACATGGAGGCTTGGGCTGGGTGGGATATGGCTAAGAGAAAAATGGTTTTGTGACCTCTGCTGGGAGTGCCTTCAAGAATGGTTGCTGCTGGCTGCATTGCCGTGGTATAGTGACTGGGTACACTTTCGTGAAGCAATCCATGTTGGGGTGGCTGAAGTATTCATGAGGGATTCACCTACACTTAATCTACTGGTTAGTGCCCTCTTCTTAAACATACAGTTGAAATCGCAGTTCCTTCGGGTTGAGCTTCCCTTTTAGTTCTCATCTCTCAGAGTTACGTAGCATCCGACAGCCTTTGGTTATTGGTGGCTGCTTCAGAGTGGTAGAAAGCAATGGCACGAAAATCGGTGAAAGGGGGGGGGGGGAGGCAGGCAATTGCACGAAAATGGGCGAGGGGAGTGAAGGAATGGAAGGGATAGGCAAAAGGAAAAGTAGAAGAACTACGGAAAGTGGAAAAAGAAAAGCGAAGAGAAAGGAAGAAGAAGTGAGCGGAGGCGAAGAAGGAAAGGGCTGAGAACAACAGAAAGTGGGAAAGAAAAACGATGGGAAAGGAAGAAGAAGGGAGGGGGGGCGAAGAAGGAAAGGACTGAGAGACTCCCTGCATAGGAGAACCAACGTGACATTCCGAAGAGTTACGTAGCATCCGACAGCCCTTGGTTGCTGGTGGCTGCTTCAGAGTGGTAGAAAGCAATGGCACGAAAATGGGTGAAGGGTGGGAGGGGGGGGAAGGCAGGCAATGGCACGAAAATGGGCGAGGGGAGTGAAGGAATGGAAGGGATAGTTGAGGCAAAAGGAAAAGTAGAAGAACTAAGGAAAGTGGGAAAGAAAAGCGAAGAGAAAGGAAGAAGAAGCGGGCGGAGGCGAAGAAGGAAAGGGCTGAGAACAACAGAAAGTGGAAAAGAAAAACGATGGGAAACGAAGAAGAAGGGAGGGGAGGCGAAGGACTGAGAGACTCCCTGCATAGGAGAACCAACGTGACATTCCGAAGAGGGTCCCCCCCACCACAAAAAGTGAAACACCTGAACTCTGACCCCAAGCTGATACAAAACCCAAACGACTGCATACATACAATCCTTACCATTCTTTTGGGTAATCAAACCGAGCGATCTTGGAAACCAGGAGGGCAAGTTGGACAGAAACCTGCACATCAAGATTCCATTGACGACCACCTTTGATGAAACTATAAACCATAGGCATCCTGCAATTTGATTTATTGTACTCCAGTACCCCAAAGGACATCATAAAGACAAGCCTCTCTCTCTCTCTCTCTCTCACACACACACACACACACACACACACACACACACACACACACACGGAGTGAAACTTCGATGAAATTGTCACAGTCACCCTTTTTTGTGGAGTTCGATTCCACAGATAGACAAGGCACCCATACATGCACACACCCTGCATATGTGAAATTGCTGGTCTTATTTTTCTCTCTCCCCCACTACCCAGTGACTACTTTATCTGCTTAACTTGCCAGTAACTGATGGGAGCACCAGATGTAGCCACTGGCTGCAGAATCCACCTCATTACATACTGCTCCCATGTCATACAGCGACCACCTCTCATCAAACAACATTCAACCGTAGCTCGTATTCAACCTTTTGTAGCACCTGGAAGTGGAAGGCAGCAAAGGGGTCAATAGGGAAGGGATAGCATTCTACAGCTGAGGCAGGATACCCATAACTTGGATTCCAATGCAGCAGCCCAGCCTTCAGAGACCGACATTTTGCACTTATTGAGCTAAGGTTCACAGACCATTGATAGACAATGTAATGGGCTGTACCATTGGAGTCCAGTGATTCCTCAAAGTGCAGAGATATATGCCTCACATGCCACAATCCAATACACTCAGTTAGCTGGCAAGACGATTAAATAGATAAGGAGAAAACTTGGTGGTGCAATCAATAGCTAGGAGGAGGACAAGGAGGACAGAGGATTCTTGGCACACCATAGTGCATGAAACGGTATTCACCTGTTCGCAGTAGCAAATGCAGATCCCAGGGCTCGATCCCTAGACTTTACCTTACCTGTGTATATTACCTGTGTCGACCCCAGAGTTGAACCCACAACCTGTGTCTGTTCCCAGTTGGTAGACTGTGTAGATTGTAGGGGTTCGATCTGTAGACCTGTCGAATAGTGGTCTTAGGGAGTTCTAGAAGTCGTAGTTGTAGGACCTCTGAAAGGTCAAGGCCGTAGCTGCTAGACTCCTGAAAGGTCAAGGTAGTAGCTGCTACAGTATCCGAAAGGCCAGGACCGAAACTTCCGGACGGTCCTGGTACTGGCCTTTCGAAGCTGCTCACGTTTAGGCTGAGGCAAGTGGGCAAGTGGTGGAGTCCACCCGTGCTGAGTCAGCAGTCCCAGTCCCAGTCAGTCCTAGTCCAGTCAAGCAAGTACTGTATGGGACTGTGTGCACCACGGGCATGGGAAAGGGGCAGACCAACGAGATACAGAAGTATAAATCAAGAGGCAGCGCCCAGCCATTCATTCATTCCTGCATAAGCCATGCGGAAGCGCTGCCACAGCGACTTGTGCGAGATGCTCTGCAGTGAGCCCGAAGACGAAGTGGGCGAGAAGGAGAGCCTAGCCATAGCGATAGTAGTAGTAGCGGCCATAGCCGCCGTAGCTGATTGAGCAGTGCAGCGTGTGTGTGTAAAGTGTGCCGCGTGTGAGATATCCAGGGTGATCCTGTGTGTGTGAACAGAGAGTTGTACAGGCGCTGTGCCGCCATAGCCATTTGAAGTGAACTTGTATCTGAACTGTGTTCTTGGTTACTATATCTCTGAGTTTTGAGTGGGCGCTTGTCGCGCAACCTGTTTCCATGCATGTGGAGAGTGAATGAAAGCGAGTCTGATTGCATTGGTATTGGAGCTGGTACCCGCTATTCCACGCGCGATCGTCGTGTGCCACAGGGAGATTCGCGCGCCATAGCTGAAGGCGCCATAGGAGTAGAAATCCGCCATAGCGGATTCGCCAAGTGAAGACGACACTGTGCGCACCTGCAAAGAAGACCACGACGAAGAGGAGAGAGAGAGAGAGAGAGAGAGAGAGAGAGAGAGAGAGAGAGAG